CATATTATAACAAACAAAAAACCACTAAACAATGAAACGGCGAGGAAGATGAGACGAGTGTCTAGTTGAGAAAGACAACTTATTTTAAGACATTTATGTATGAAAAAAAAAAAAAAAAATACCACTTAAGATGGTAAAAAATATTACTTATGCTGCTTTACTCAAAAATAAATAATTTTCATTCAATTATTAAAAAGAAAACATCATGTCATAATGACATTCAATTATTTAAAATGTCATGAATAATAAATCTTTACAAAATCACGTTAACTGCAACTTAAGTACATATTTTTTATTTTAATAATAACATACACGGTACCAACAAGCTCAATCTCATCCATATCCTAACGGCCTAATCCACCTCCTATATTTATTTATTTATTTTTCCTACATCCTGCGTGGGGGAATAACTGATAAAGCAAAAGAAAAATGACCGACTACTATTGTTCTCTCTTCAGATTTTCATTGGGATTGGCTTTCCCTTTGTGCGCCACACCATTTTGTTCCACTATAAGAGCAAAAGGGCCAACCAATCCTTGTTACATTAGCAATTTTCATCACCAAAAGTTCAAAACGCCCATACAATCTTTGGAGTAAGACTACAACACATTTTCTATCTCTCTTCTTAAGGGCACCACCAATGCTAAGCACCACAACTAATAAAAGGTGTGGGTCCAACACTGCGGAATCGACATTCTATTAGTAGTGGTGCTGAGCACCACCAGTACTTAATAATATTGCTCAAATATAAAATGTATACACGCGAACAATTTTTTATGTGAGCTTTTGGGGCTAAATGGTACCAAAAAGCTACCACTAATAAACAAGTAATGATGCAAAATTGCTTCCATTGTGAAAAATTCTGAGCAACGCTAGTTCTCCAAAAAGAAGCACAACTTGTTTTTGGACAATCACATAGCAATTACCAACCAAAGAGAGAAGATGTGGAATACTAATCATAAATAAACTCTCAATGCATTGATGGGAATTAGTTGTTTTCAGTTGATTTCCATATCTCGGTCTCCAGAAGAAAAAAAGAATGCATACTCACATATTCTTACTCTATGATTAGAGCTTTAAGGATCAGCCGACTTATCACATTCCCTTCTACTGTAACCTTTGTGGCAACTTACTAAAGATCAAGTAGCCAACAAAAAAAAAAGGCATCTGTAATATATGCATTTCTGACCATCTTTGTCAGAATTAAGAGGTAAAATCTTATATTCACTTTTATCATTTCATTGACACAACACACTTTTTAGCCCGTTTGTTTTGCGGGTCGAACCAATTCAGACCCTTTTGCTATAATGTTTTCTCTTAAAAAGATTTGAATTTCTGTTAAAACCTATAAACCAAACTGGCCATTTATAATCTTCCTCCTCCTGTATCCGACACTGGTAATAATTCTGAATTCCAAACCAAACTGGGAACACAAAACATCATACCCGTTACCCATTTCAATCCTAAGCTCATAATTGTAAAATAGTCAACCATGTAGTACATTAGTGAATTCACCAAAGATTTGAGTCTAACAAGTAAGTTCAAAATGCAATGCAGATTAACATTTATCCATAACTTTGTGCAAAATTGAAACTGGGTTTTACTTTTTTTACCTGCATTCTTCATCAGAACTATTTGTCCTCGACAAGAACACCTTTTTAGGTGAAGAAGACACATCCTTTGATCACAAATTTGCAATGGACTCTTCCTCGGAAACAACAATGGTCACTTGTCCCTGATGACTAACTTCACTGAATTCACTCACACTGGAATTCCTTTGCCTCTCCAAATCATCACCGCCATTCGGCATCTCAATTATGTGTAATAATCGACACAGAAAATTACCTATATATATATTTCACTTTTGAATCCTCAGTTGCTCAAATTCAAGGGATTGAGAAATGAAAAAAAAAAAAAAAAAAAAAAAAAAAAAAAACCCCAAAAAAAGGATTTGGAATTCAAATTGCCATAAAAAAAAGGAAAAAGAAATAAATTTTGAGAGTTTCACAAATACCCAAATAAAGAAAGGAAAAGAAAAAGGAAGAGGAGTTTTTGGTTTTCAGAGATTCGTTACCTGAATAAGGGAAAAGGAAGGAAAACTCTGCTATAGTAATGTAGCTGAATTTTCTGTTTTGGTTAACCCAAAAGGAGGAGACATTACTGATAAAAAAAAATAAAAAATCAAGAAAACAGTTTTCGCGCTTCAGAGATGGGATTTTTTTGTCCCTTGTTTTTTGATTGAATTTGGTAGAAATGGTCTGAAAATGGGGAAAAGAAAAATCTTTTAATTTATAGGTATATATGTATGCCTATTTGTGTTTTTTTTTTAACAATGATTTTTGCTGTTTTACTAATCTCTATTAGTGGAATTTTGTTAATTAATTAGTAATTAGTGTTTTTTTCTGATCAATTAGTAATTAGTGTTTGCTTGCTTGCTTTTGTTTATTTATTTTTATTAAAAAAATATTCTTATTATTATTGTTACTTTTTTTTTTTTTTTGGATTGAGTGAAGCAATCGCCTACTTATATTCTCGATAATAAACACCCGTCACCGAAGGACTGCCCAACCAAACACCAATCCAATGGTCCATGCAATTTTAGACTATTCACTTGCCTAGTTTTTTTTTTTTTTTTTCCTACTTGCTTAGTATTTAGATAAACAGTGTTATGTTACATTTTTAGGGAAATTTTACGGTAGATTAAAAAAAATTAATAAAAGAAACCGTTAATTCTGCATATATAATGTAATTTTAAGTTTTAACCAATTTGAAAATTGATAAATATGAGTTCTCCTCCATAGAGAGCTCCATATCTTTGTAAAAATAATTTATAGTAGTTTTTAGGGACGTTTGGTTCATGAATTTAAAATCATGATTCAGAATTATTCTCGATTTATGTGTGTTTTTTTTTTAAAAAAACACTATAACAAACCACGAATTATGATTCAAACTATGACACGGGTCTTTACTCCAAACGCACCCTTCATATTTCTATTTTATACTTGTAAGTGAATGGTCTTTACATGTCAAAATTTTCGGAGAGAGTACCGATTTTGTGGGGTTTTTTTTTTTTTGTCATTTTATTTACTTAATTTTGACTTTTTAAGTCATTAAACTATTGAAAATAAACAATGGGGTCATTGTGTTTCAGCAAGTAGTTGAAACGCATTGTCTTCTTTTCAAGGGAATATTTTTCCAAAACGGACTCAACTTCTACTTTATTACAATAGGTCGATTTTACACCAAACTCTCTCTCTCTCTCTCTCTCTCTCTCTCTCTCTCTCTCTCTCTCTCTCTCTCTCTCTCTCTCAACAAAAAAAGAGCAATAATAGTATAATGTAATGATAAGTTTTTTTTCTTGGGTTAGAAATCGTAACAATATGTCCCGTTCATTTTACCGATTTGAATTTTGCTACAATAAAAAGTTCTCAGAAACAGTTACATCTAACTTTTTTACTACAGTTAAAAAACTCACATAAAGTCATATCTTAACTCAAATTAAAAATTCGAATCAACAAACTAAACGGATCCTATAAAAAGGATAACGTTATTGTTGGTCCCTCCTCCTGTGTCAATACGTGATTGCCACAAATGCAAATAAAAAATTCGTTTTCCAAATTCCACTAATAAGTGTATCTTTCACAACACAATAAAGAATAAACATGAATCCGACTATCCACATGAATCCTCTCAAAAGTAATTAAAAAAAATCCCAAGTAAAGGAATGTGACATGAAAAACTCGAAAATGTCTAAGCAAAGTGAAAAAAAAAATGTCCAAAAAAAAAAACAGAAGAAGAAGAAGAAAGAAAAACGAACACACAACAATGTACAAAGCACATACTTTTTAAATTAAAAAAAAAAAAAACGATGCATAGAGCACAATTCAAACTCAAGAGTGCCTTTCTTAAAATGTGTGTGCGCGCGGAGGAAGAAGAGGAAATAGCCATTTTCTTTTCTTTTTAAAGGAAAATAACTCTTTTCAGGATAATAAAAAATGGCCGAATTTGGTTGTAAGCTAGTAAAATGGGTGTTGTGGTGATCTAGTAATTTACGAGGATTTGATCGATCTACAATTTACCTCATGCCAAAAATTCAATTAGTTTGTAGGATAAATAAGTATTTATTTTTAGCGTTTTAAATACATGTTATTTATTTAAAGAAAACGTTTAACAAAATATATAAATATAATTTAGGTTTAAATCCCATCAGAGAAGTGGTGTATTCAATACTAATTTAGGTTTATCACTCTCAATTCATTTTCTACATTTATTATTTGATTCGTGAACTCTACTAATATGATATATTATTATTTAAACATAAAATTAACTAGTAGAGAATGGAGTCTACATGACAAATAATAAATGTAGAAAATGACAAAAATAGTGACAAAAAAAATGATACTAGCATTTCACTCCTCTAATTTACCTGTGAATATATTGCCATCAAGACCTTTCTGGGGCATTAATATTATTTTGCACCGTCGTATTAAGTTACATGGCCAATTTCACATTCTCTGACAGGAAAAGCACTTCCACAAGCAATTACTACTACTAGAACTAGGAGAATCGCACCTAAGAATACATACAAGATTGGTAATATTTCTAGTATAACATTTTACACAACTAAAATATTGGTCTAATTAGTCTCGTGATTCCTTTCATATAGTACATACCCAGAAGAAAATTTACATTAAACTATTAATTTCAGTTTTAGGATGATTGATTAATCACCATTTTTTTTTCCTTAGAAGTTTACACTCAATCAGCAAAAAGAGCGTTCCAATCACAAAAAGCATAATCCTTATGGACCAAGTAGAACACATCGTCAAGCAATTCCTTCACTTTTTCTCTTTTGTCTGTGTGTTCAGAATCCCTTGTGTCTTTTCTTCTCTATAGCTCCAAACATACTCATTATATCCTTGAATTGTCCAATAAGGCATCACTTTATTCTCTAAAAATGGTGTCATTTTGGCCCCAGCCAACTCCTTATATCCCTTGTTAATTCTTCCATTCCATAGCAAACAAACACAAAACAAACTTCTTACTCTCCATTGTCTAGTTTGGATTATTTTTCTTTAACCTTGAAAACATGCCGGTCGCCGAGTCAGTTAAGCCAAGTGGATCATCCTCCGAAGGATACAAGCATAAACACCTCCACCGCGAAGTCAGAGATATGGTCTCAACCATCACTCATCGCCTCACCAACATTCACAAATCTGGCTCTGTCCAAGCTGGCCAAGAGGAATTTGATGAGGATGACAATGGTGTGAGGATCATCACCCTCGCGGGAACAAACACTGGGGCAACCCTCCAAGGGGAGCTGGACGATAAGTCCTCGGGGCTAGATGGGGACCAACCGGTGCTAGGAGAATCGGACGCCTTGCAAACCTACGTCAACAGCAACTTCCAGGCAGTCAACAACTCCATCATGATGGGAGGGAGCTACAACACCAATGACCCTGGCGTTCATGTGGAGATATCTGACTTTGTTGATCCTAAAGAATCTAAGGCTGCACAAAAGCGGGTATGGAAGGGAAAGAAGAAGAACAAGGAAGCTGCCAAAAGTGACAAAACAACCGAATCTGAGAGCTCTGATTAAGGGTTTCATGGAGTTGGAGAGGTGACGTGAGGAAGGAAGTGCATGGAGGTGTGTTCTAAGTTATCTCTATACGTAGTGTCATGTCATGTGGTACTTTAGCCATAATGAGAATGGTGAATAAGGTCTTCTTATGACTAAAATATATGCTGTTTGAGGCTTGAGAGCTAGACTAGATGGCGGTATTGCTTCTACCCCAGAATAAATTGCTTGTTTTACGTTAATATATATATATATATATACATATATATACGCAGAAATATAAGGCAAGAAAAATAGTTGTGTTACTGTGCTATTGCATACGAGTCGAGCAATAAATTTGTTAAAGCTCTTGTACCCTTCCCCTTTTTGTTGGAGCGTCATTGTTCTTGCTAAATTTTCTCATGAATCATCTAGAATTATATGGATCATAAGAAAACCATCCGGGCAGAAATGCTAAGAATCTTGCTGCCTTGCTCATGTAAGAAATACGGAGTAGAAATGTTCTTTTCTTAGCGTGACTTTGGTAGGTTTAACTAAGTTGGTTACTTTAATTAATTGCATTCAATTAGACAAACTTCCAAATAATCACATAAAATTTTGGTTGGTATTTTGCAATACTTTGTTATCTTGATTAACAATTCGTCTAGCAAAGTATAACAATATCACTAATCTTGGAATTCTCTACATTGCAAGGTCTTTTGCTCACCACAAAATATGACAATTTTTCGTCACATGGTGTAACCAGTTCTGGCTTTCAGGACAAATTATTTAAGATCTAGCTTAACATGGGAGTACCCATAAACCACAGATTACATGCCAAGAATTCAAAATCTGGTAATTCATACAAACAGATGTTCTAAATGCATGTGGAGGATTACACGGCATTTGGTTGACATTAGAAATCAATTTAACAGAGGCCACCAAAAATCTGTTGGTCCACCCTGACTGAAAAGATAAAAGAGAGAAACTTGAATAGAATCCCATATAAATTATTTAATTTTTAAATAATTTCATGATCGCACGTGTTCGCTGGAGATAGGTTTGATAGAGAGACACAAGAGGAACTATTTCTCAAAAGGGATTAAGCAGCAAGAGTTTGTGAATCCTCTGAAAACCACCTCTGCAATCACAAGCCAACTACATGGAGGGATTTCCATATACAAAGCTAGTAAGACCTAAGAAAATTGAATCTTTTGAACTAAAATCAATATAAACATCTACCGACTAGATTGTTATGAGTGGCTAAAACCAAGGAAAGAGGAAATTCTTTTCCTAGTTTTATCCCCTACCATAAATATACACATAAACTAAGCTAGATTCTTTGGTTATCCACTAACCGACAATCCTTGGACTGGAGCCCATCCGTGCAACAGCTCTCAACCATGATTGTTCCCTGGCACAATCAAGCAGTCAGTTCTACGCTCGATGGCGACCAGAGGCATGCACAAGAACCAAAAAGGTAGATGCGCGAGAAAGTCTTTCGTTATTGAATAAATAATCAGCAGAAACATCCACAGAAAGAAGATCTAACCTCTAGAAGTACTTTTATTTTGAACTCTGTGACCCTTGTCATGTGAAACTGAAGGAAACTTTGGTATGATCAATGAGCTTTGTAATCCTTCCAATAGCTGTGTCAGAAAAGACAGAAGAATGAGGCTCGACTGCTTGAAATACTGAGGCAGCATTCAATATCAGTACCAAAAAAGAGCAGAAAGGTTGGAAAGAACGAAAGAAGTCAGATGCTATCAAAAACTGCAAATATCGAGAAATCCTAAGGTCATAGAATGAGAACATGATAAAAAAGCATCAAATACATCAGGTAAAATGATATCGAGACACTCACTCTAGATGTTGGCTGAATTCTGCGATTAGATCTGCGGGGCTCAACAACTTCGGATGTTGATCTGGTGGTGTTGCCATTAAAAACTTTGTCCTCCTCAATTTTACCCAACTTTCCACTAGCAGGTGCAAGTTTTCCTTTATTTGCCCGTTCAGATTTAGCAGTTGATGTAGAAATTTTCTTTGATGGACCATCTAGTGCCGGGGCCAACGAAGCAAAGATAAATGGGGTTTCTGCTGGTCCTACAGAGCCAGAAAAGGACACGGTTTCCATCAAGTTTTGCTTTCTGGACAAATTATCAACATTGCTTAAAGAATCCTTTGCATTTCCCGTGTGGTCTCCAGCAGTGCTATCACCAGAAGTGGAAATTGCACTCGTTGAAAAGTTCTCCCTCTGCAGGACAGTTCTACCTGAAACGGCTTGCGGCTTCCCAGACTTAAGACCTTTAAGCTTTGATTCAGCTATCCGTTTTTCCTTGGGATCATTTTTCAGTCCACGGGATCCTGGTCCTTGTGGCGCCATGTACTTCAAATATTTAAGCGAATCATTTGCCTCGATGTTCTTATTGCTCTGATCTGCCACATTATATTTGCTAACTTCCATAAACTTTCTCTTCTTTCCTGGTTTAGGAACACCAAATATCACTCCCGATCCCTGCTTCTGCAAACCAGTTCGAACCATTCTGGGTGCATCAGGCTTGCTGACATTTCTAGTGCTCTTACCGACATTAAATCTCTTTTCAGTTGCAGCCAAATCCAGTATTCTTGATTCTTCAAGTTTCCCTGCATCCAAGTTGTCGGTGCTTTTTTCTATCTTGTCTTTCCCTTTGGCTTCCATAGCTGGACTGCCCAACTTTAAACGCTTCTCCTGTGGAATATCACCCTGTAGAAGAGACTTGCGTTCAGCACAAAATGACGAAGGTACAAATTCACAAGATAAAAAGCAAGCACAACGACATGCAATAGTACCTCGTGTGGGGAGGAATCATTCCGCAAGTTTGACCATTCCGCCCATTCTCCATCCTTCCAAATGAGAGAAGGCCGAAGGTGCCATGCTTTGACGACTGATGTTTCACCTTGAGCTGCAAGTTTGATAAATGAATATAATCCACGTGGAAATAGAAAAAACATTATACAGTAGAAAACATTTTATCACCACAAGCAAAGAAAGGAAAAAGATTAAAAGCAAAAAAGTCAAATACCAGGAAAATGGACCGTGACTGATGTTTCATCCTTTTTATTCTTTTCGGTGACAACTCCTTCCCACCAGCTGAAACATCAAATTATCAACCATGAGAACAAGTCAGCCATAGAGATAGCAGAGAACTTAATCCAAACCCTCAATATCAATATTAAAAAAAGGAAGAAAATCAAGATTGAAGGTCTGGCAAGGAAAACAAAAAAGTCTTGATCAATGCAGGCTGGTTTAAACAGTATAATGCATATCCACCAAACTAAAGTTTCAACTCTGGACCCGTACCAAGTAAAACCCAACATAGTATATGCACTCACCCGAACGTAAGAAAGAAGGAAGTTTATTTTCTAGGGCTCTTACAAAAGTTGTTATTCCAGGCTCGAAAAGTTGCATGGATGGACTAGGATCTTCAAGATTTTCAAGGTAACAATGAAAAAATGTTTGCAACTCTTCTCTTGAAGGATTTTTAGTCCATTAGCTGATAATATAATAGAAGAAGAAATGTGTCGACAGATATAGATTCATCACGTTTTGCTAAAACAGCTTAGACACTCTTAGAACTGCCTAATATCCTAACCCATCACCCACAGTCTCTTCATCTTTCCAACATCACTTTTCTAAAACCTAAACCCAAAAAGACTGCCCTGTGGTGTGGCCAGAAAATACTAGAAAGCTAAGATTCTATGCCTTCTGTGAACTGAATGTTCCACACACAAAAAAAATAAAAAAGGTAAACGAATATCCTTTGCGCGTGAAATTTTAAGGTTCACCCTCCTACAGTTTTTTTTTCATTTTCACATCTGCAGCATTCTAGAAGCAAATAAGCACGTATAATAGGATATATCAATATTTAGCCATTTATCTAAATAAAAATATCTGAGTTAAAATAATAACTTTTTGTATTACCCCAAAACAATTTCGTTGGACATAAGAGGTCCAAGAAACAACAAAAACAGTTTCGAAAATCTAGACAGCCTCTTAAGTGTCAATGCTTGCAGTATAACCTAGTAATAGCAGTCTATATCTCACAAGGAAATGCGTTAACCACAAGAAATCATAAGAATTTCTGCGAGTAATTTCTTTTAGAAGTAATTGAATAATAATGCTTCCCTTGGGTTGCTCTTCCATGCATTGGAAGATTGTACAAAAAAGTATACATCCATACCTATTTGTCATCCATGCATCAACTCTATCTCCGACAGACCAATTATAGTCCCCCATGGCTGCTCTGCGCCTTTTCCTCGTGCCTTCATATCGCACTGCAGTAACAGGGCGGGCAATACGAATTTTGGGTCGGTCATCACCCTCACCTTCAAGAGCCACCCATTCTTGTAATTGTGCTAAGCCTGTATAAATAAAGGCAGCTACAAGTTACCATAAGCAAGCTGTGCATGCAATTTACAATGACAACAAAACTAAATTGCGAACTGGTTATAGACCATTAACAGGCAACTTTCTCACTTCAGACGACAAAGATGAAATAAAATCTGCATGAAATATAGGTAATTGCTTTATCTCACCATCCTGTTCAATCTCCGTGTAAGATACACAAGCTTTCCCATCATTCAAACTCAGAACATTTGCTGTGTACCAGGCTGCTTTAAATCCATCACCATCTTTAAATACCTGAATTAAATAACCCGGTTATAACTAACCTTCAAAACCTATGAAATCCACCACATTTGAATAAAAAATCTACACAAGTTCCATTAAAAGTAGAAAGCACCCACGTAAACAGCATACTCTTGTGAGAAAGCACAATTTGAGAGAATATTTATATTATTCCTAACAACTTGAAAAACCTGATTAAAACTAATTAACATTTCTCAAAGAACTATCAGCTCATATACCTCAACTTTAGAACCTTCCTTGATGTTATTTTCTTTAAGGACTTCAGCTGCCTTTTCAACGTCATTCTCAACATTAATGGAAGAAGACTTTGGAATAGTCTCAGATTCGAGTACGACGACAATGTTTTTGGTCAAATCAGAAACTTTGTGACCTTTCTGTCCCCTTGATTCCCTCTCACTGGCTATAACAGAACCAGAGATTCCATCTACCAGTCTCAAATGCTCCTCCATTGATTCTTTGGTCACCTCTCTTGAAATAGAAGACTTCTCATTAACAGTCGTCTGTGTTTCTTTCTTACCTAATCTTCCATCTTTTGAATTCTTAGCAGAAAAATTTGCACCTTCTCCAACACCTCCAACTCTCGATTGCTCTCTAGTTATTTCGGTTGATTTTGCAACCCACTCTGAAGATAATTGAGGTGCTCTCCAGTAACCCTCTGGACCAGCTTCTATTAGCTCGTTCAGAGGTAAAGTATCACCCATTGCGACAATCTTCCCAGCTTGTGAAACAGCTTCTGCAGCCAACTCAGCAGCTTTTACAATCGCATCCATATTTTCAGCTCGCTTTGAGGCGGCTGATGCAGCTTCCACTTTTCTCCTAGCAGCCTCCCTAGCAGCAGTAATTATTGAACTTGAACTGTTCGCTCCATCTTCTCCCCTCAAAATAGATGCAGGAGTAGCCTTTCCAAATTCGTTCACCCTTTCAGAAAATGAAATTCTAGTACTTTGACTGGGATTTTCAAAGCTATGTGAAACAAATGCTTCATCAGCCATCAATTTTGCTTGCAATGCCGCATTGGATGCGACATTGGCAACTGCAGCAGCCGCCTTTGCAACAGCAGCAGCAGCTGCTACTGCTACAGCAGCAGACGCCAATTTAGCTTCAACATCCGATACCAATCCAGAAGTTTTCCGCTTCTCCAACTGACCCCATATTTCTTGGCTGTACCCAACGGCTGCAGCAGCAGGAGCAGCTGCATCCTCCGCCTGTTTACTAGCCTCCTTAATTTTACTATGAGTTTCTTCCGATAAAATAGCCTTCTGCACTACATCATGGTCTGCTTTTCTAAGAGAATCAGAAGAAGGTGTAGGAGTTGCAGACACAACCAATTTCTCTGGCATAGCTTGAGACACGAAAGAAGCAGGGCTTGTGATGGCAACAGATGTAGTCAGATTACTAAATACCACTGGTGCAAAAAGTGCTTCTGGTTTGGATTGAGATTGCAAAATAACCTGGCTCGTTTGCTCAGAAGCTTGGTTCTTTTTTCTTTTTCTAGGCTTAGTATCAGCAGAATGCTGCCCAGGTGATGACGTCACCTTTTTCAAGTCAACCACAGGAGCAGCAGTGGTGAATACACTAGCTAGAGCACCAGTTTGAACCATAGGACTGGATGAGACATGTTTTGTACCAGAGGAATGCGGCACAGTTGTATCCTTTACAGGAGTCAACTGAACAGGTTCTGTATTAGGAAATGCTGTAAAACGTATACTGGCCTCTGGTACTGAAGGTTGCGGAGAAGGAACCCAGGGACCGCGAAAGGGGACCTGAGACATCCATGAAGTGTTATGTCCAAGAAGGTTCCTGATAGGGGGTGTCTGAAAAGGATGCATTGGGGTAACTGCCTGCTGATAGTCCATGACAGAACCTCTTGGCATGACACCAGACTGCATGCCGTCACCAACTGGTGTGGGGAGACTCCAAAGAGGAGACGACAGGGGTATCATAGGGCTTACAATGGTTTGAGAACTCTTGGTGCTTGATCGACTAACTGGTGTGGATAAACCTTTACTTTGAGTTTGAGGAGCACTCTGTTTGCTAACTTGGTCTAGTTTTGTGGTAGCGGTAGAGGTTTGACGTGAATGCAAAGGAGTTTCTGGATTAATAGGATTAGACTTTTGACTTTGTAGCCTCTCAACACACGCTTGCCAGGCATTCCCCCACATGCTCCTTCCACCATCTAAAGGCACAAAATTGGAGAAGATCACTATAACTGTGCAACAGCTATAAACAGGAATCAGCAAGTTAATTATACATATTTTAAAATAGAAAAGAAAAAACCAACCAGATCCTGCAAATGCTGACAGCATATACGCTTCTTCAGGTGCTGTCCCTTGACTGCAGCAAACAGAAAAATTAACCAACAAACACACAAACAAAACATAAGGAAAGAAAGAAGAAGATTGTTTGTTTCCCCTTTTTAGCATAAAGAAGGTAACAGATCTGCAATTTGCTTATGTAGGAAGCATACATCTTTTGTTTTTAATAAGCAAAGGCATAACTGCAAATTTTATTGAACACACATGACATGCATTAAGCTCAACTGCAAATTTCAAATCAAAAGGTAAAGTCCTCGCTTTCCTTTCTACCCAAATTTCACATAAAGTTGGCAAAACTGCAAAATTCCACATTGTCCGAGTTTTCTCATTTCTCCAAAAGCAACTCTAAAGAGCTCCTTGGCATCACACATAAGATCAAACTCTTTACAAAAAATCGTCTATGGTTTTTTCTCTAATTCTTGTGAACATAAAAATGATCCCAGATGGATTTGCAAGAAGGGGATGTTTGCCAACTATAAAACATGAAGCTTTGAAAAAAAAATGCAAAACCAAATCACACCGTTATCTGCCCACAGCAATTCCATGACCTGGTTCCACTCTCCTTCCTTTACTTTGTAGAACATTCCATATACTTTTCTCTTTATTTTTCTAATACTTATGTTTGAGTAGAGGTTCAACAGCCGTCATCATACACTTCATATGTAATAGATTTGTGCACTTCATGACTTGATATGTTATATCACCTAATCATGGAATATCTACTACTATGTGAACAAACAAAAGAAAGGACTCACATCAAAGATCCATATACAAAGATCTGGGCACGCAATTGCACTTGTTGGAAGTCTGTAAAAGGTTGTTGAAAAACCGTAGAAGGTGAAGCCGAAGCATTTAAATCTGGTAGACTGGATGTTGATGCAGCAAGAACAAAGAACGGTTTATTATTATTGTTGCCTTCAACATGTCCATAATGCTGCATCTCGTTTGATTGCATAACATGGAAAATCCCAGTTGGAGCTGATTTTTCGCCTCTTTCTGCTTGTTTTGCCGGAGTTGTTTCTTTCAAATTACTTCCTTTCTTTGCATTATCTTTTCCTGTTGCCTTGGCTGATGATCGCCTGGATTTACGCTCGGGAGTACCTTTAGAGCGACCACGTGCAATTTCTACATTGGAGACTTGTGGAGTTGCCTGAGAAATATCTTGAGTAATCTTGGGGTCCATTTGGCCCACAAGAGAATTTAAAGGAGATCCCTCTGCAATCTTCATAAAAAAAAAAAAGATTTCTTGTAAGAATTTGTAGTCATAACATGCAAAATCCCTTAAAATTTCCATTCAAATAATATGTATATGAACGACTGTTGCCATAGTCTCTAAAAGGAAAGAGGAAAAACGCAAAGAAATGCAAGTCAAAAAATAAAAATAAAAAGCTCTAAAAAAATAAATTAGCCATGTAGTGTAAATAATAGCAACAAAAAGAAGAGGTAAGATGGTTACTCCTGCAGCTGAACTAGCAGGGTACGACTGCAAGTTTTTTCCAGCATCTCTTTTAGCCAATTGTGTAGATGAGCTGACACCAAAACTCCCACTTTGCCCCTCCTTGGAGGCATCTATTCTTTTTGAATCTTGGGCACCGGATGCAACCTTTCCAGAATCACCATCAGAGACCTTAGAATCTGAGGAATTCAGATTTGTGGATCCCTTGACACCCTCTTCCGCCCCATGTACACCCTGATAAAGCTTAGGGGAACCAGGAGTAGGTACGCTACGATCAACAGAACTGCCTCCATTATCTAGTGAAACAAACTGAGTATTAGATACAGGGTGGATCTGGGGTTTAGATAAGTACTAACAGAAATAAAAAGGATGACAACCGAATGCATTCTTTTTAAAACAAAAATAACTAAGTTTGAACCTTCAAACCTTTGTAAATCATCTTCAAAATGTATTTTTTCATGAGTTCTACTCCTTAAGTTATAAAACAACTCAACACAAGATCAGTTTCTCACTTTGCTTGCTAAATGGTAAACATACAAAGTGGAACTATAAACACAGATACCGTCTGGTGACAGTGTGATACCTCCACGATTTCCTTATCACTAAATTTTCCTTAAAAATTTTGATTTTTACGCAGTGGGTGTCAGAAACCTAACCTATACCTGAACCAAAATAGACATCCCTATTAAGGCAACATAAAACATTGCCATAGTTTAAACTGTTAATCGTGTTCATATCATGATCCAAACTTCAACCCAAACAAGGAACTCCAACTGGTATAAAATCTGCTTTGAAATGGAACCTCGTCACATCTCTTTCAGATACATAACACAGAAAGCACACAATCATGTATGAAAAACTGAGTAGTTAAAACACGAGGTGCTGATATAGGCTAGAAATTAGTATGCTTAGACATACAAGTACTAAAAAATTATTAAACAATGGTTAAGTCCAATAACATCCAAACCGTTCCACTTAGCAAATTCATAACATTTAACAAAGATCCCCCCTTATCACTAGTTTTTTACCCAATCATTTCACTATAACATAGGTCACTTTCTTTTCACTTTTCTCCAAAGCTACAGTCCAGGCAGGCTGTTCAGGGAAGCAGCTGAAGGCCAGAGTAAAGGGAATTTAAGCCCGTTTGTTTCATATATTCAAACTCAAATCATTGTGCGCGTTTGGAATTAGTTTCAAAATGATTTTATTTTTTGTATGAAAATGAAAATGAAAACGTTTTCAATCTCATACATAATCATTTTTTAAAATGCGTTTGGTAATTTATCAAGAGATTGTTTTCAGTATAAAAAAATCCATTAATGTCTCTCTCTTTCTCTGCTTAGAGAGGAGAAAACGATAACAAAAAATGAAACATTTCTCTCTCATTTTACACGAAACCAAAAAATCGTTTTCATTTCCATTTTTTGTCTTTATTGCGCCAAACGCAGTTTTGAAAACGTTTTCATTTTTTCTTTCTCAAAAAACATGAAAAACAAAAACAGGATCAATTCTAAACACGGCCATTGTTTCTGCTACAGTGTTTTCCTCTCACAAAAAAAATTTGAATTTCAAACATCAGAATCATGGTTTGAGTATACCTTCCAAACAAGCCCTAAGATTCCATAGTTTTAAATATCAAGAATTTTGTTAACTGAAATAATAGTGACAGATTGGACACCTTTTGACCAACCTATCCTTTCCAATATACCATTCACACAGAAGATAAGTAACAATGGTATTGAGTAGGACCTGTTACTAAATACAAGTAGATGCTACAAACCGACAATGATTCAAAGTAAACCTGTCCCACATATCATATCACCAACAAATGAAAGAAACAAGAAAGAAAACTAGAAAAGTAAATAAAAACATGAAAAAGTTTTGGAACGTTCATTCTCATTTCCAAGAATAATTATACCAAAATACCAAATCACTCACTTTTGGCGTCTGACTCACTAGTCTTCTTAAAACTCTTATCTTTCGATATGAGGGTGACTATATGGCCTTCCTGAACATTTTGACAAGTTCTATCAAGTGGTTCAACCAATGGTAGAGGTTCAGTCTCTGCGAGAATCTCTTCTTTATTTGTAGTTGGTTCTGCATCACATAAGATATTACAAAACTCTAAAAACCATGCAGCAACTTGTTACAAATCCACAGCATATGTTCTTTCAGATACAAAGAAACATCTGGTTTGAAAATAGATTAAGTAAAAGATCATAACAATGACACAAACGTCTCAGATAAGTCCAACCCAGCAACATATAAAACATTTAAGTAAAATTCACCTGAAGTATTTGCAGCATCCTTAAGAACCTGTTCTCTTATGGCGGCCTTCTTGTCAGTTTCAGGCAAAGCTACTGCTTCAGTGACAACAACATCTGTCGCGGTAGATTCAAAAAGAACAGGAGAAATATTCAACTCCTTTCCACGTCCCTCAGTAAGTTCATTAACTGTTGACACAGACTGTTCAACAGTCTTGCACAAGAGCTCTCCAGAAGTATCACGAGGAGTATCTTCTTTAGCTTCAGAAACAGCTTCTACCTGAGAAGATACACTTGAATCAGCAAGAAGTTTTCTTGTAGCTTCTTCTGTTACTTCCAAGAAAATCGACCCCACAACAGGAACAGCTGACATTTGACTGTCTCTGTGATCAACTCCTGTCCTCGCTCCATTTTCAGAAGCAAAAGAAACCTCATCACCCTTCTCATCAGAAGCCAAGTTGGACTTCGGCAAGGCAGCATCTGACACTAGAATTTTAAGATTGGGGTAAGAGGCAGGAAGAAGTTAGAAAAATAGCATATATCGTTTTACTTTCCACTATATTTGATGAATTCAAAAGCATACCTGATTCATATCCAGCAGCAGTAACTCCTAATGTTGAAATATCCAACTCGTTCTTTGTGCTACTTTCACCAAGTGATGAACCAACTTCCTTACCTACAGATTCACTATCCATATAACTGCAATCATTAGGTGACTTTGTGTTCTCCTTTTCACTCACAGAATCATCTCGCTTACACGTATAAACATCAGCCTCCCCTTGGGCTTTGTCTCCCTCACATATTTGCGTGGAATCCACTAGAATGGTGGGCAGAACATGGCTCTCAGCACTCAGATTCTCTCTGGAAGATCCTACAGCATCATGGACACGCTTCAAAGCTCCAGTGACATCTGTTTCACCACATAATTCAGCTGAAGAACATGTAACATTTTCAAGACCTTCACCCTCAAAAGTCTTAGTAACATCAATGGATGACAAAGATGTCTCGGATTTTTGGACTAGAATCTCCTTATCTAACTGCCGCCCACTTTCTACCACATCCTCCATGCCACTGCTCTCTACATAATCCGTCTTTGGTTCCAGAGTAGAAGGCATTTCAGAACTTGTGTTGCTGTCCTCAACTGCATGCCTCCCAGACTGAACATCATTTTTTAAGGCCTCTGGTGGTATGGCAAGTATAACTCCTACATGATCACCACCAATACTTGTGCCTTCATACAGCACCATATCTTCACTTTTACTGGCCTCGACAGGAACTGCAGAACATTCATCTTTACTGCGTCCAGCAACTGTAGGCAGCTCAGAATGTTCCTTTTGAATCCCACTAGAAGGATCCTCGACATTTCTTTCGTTTGCCTCAATTACACTAATCTCTGCAACAGTTTCCACCTTAGACGCTGAGTGGAGAGGGTTTTCATTGTGACAAGTATTTTCAACTACATTTACATATGCATTCTGATTGTCCATTTTAGCCTCCTTGCTTAACACATGACCTTCTGGATTCTCATCACAGGAAACATTGATTTGAGGCTGGACATTACTATTAAGTTCAGTATTGCTTGTGATGGTATTTTGCTCAGACGTTGCTAAATTATCATCTCGTAATCTAGAAGCAAAAGAATCTTCTTGCATTTGGACATCCAGATGTTCATCAATGTCCATTCTGTTTGCATCGTCGCATTTTAAATCCACAAAGATATCTCCCACACTTACATGTAAGCTACCCTTTTGACTATCAGCATTTGGATCACGGTTGTGTGAACTGCCATGAACAACACTTTCACCTCCCTGATTTTGTGAAGGATCCTCAACGTGACGCTGGTCCACTCCTACATCCCCCTTTAAGCCAGAAGAGTTTCCAGCAATTTCATCTGGTGGTAACGCAGTCTCTAACTTTGTAACATCCTTCGTCTGAGAAAGAATGCTACCGTCATGTTTCAAACTATGCTCCATTTGCTTTGTTAAGCAACCAAATTCATCACAGGCATCTGCTTCCTCAATGATGGTTGGTGCAGCAATACTTTCTTCCTGCCCAACAGACTTTAATAGCATTTCAACAGATTCAGAGGAAGTGGCCTCAGACCAGACATTGTTACGCCTAGAAATAGAACAAGATTCTGCTGCACTTGAATTGAACTCTATCCCGCTACTTCCACGAGAAAAATCCTCAATCCAATGATTATCTTGATTACTTTCTATACCAAGGAAAACTTCTGTTTCAACCAAACTATCAAACCTCAAATGGTTGTCATCAAAATCAAACTTGGGAAGAGCATATGGTCGCAAAACAGGAGGAAATTTAGTAGTCCCTTCTCCAGCTAGATGAAAATTTTGGCTGTGAAGATCACTGTCATCATAATCCATGGGTGTATTCCTAGAACAAAGAAACAATCAGAGATATTCTAGTACAATCATGACGTGTATCATGATTTTAAAACTTAAGAAACCTTGCAAAATAGATACAACAATAAAGCAATTAAACAAGTATTCAATCAGCATTTCAGCAAAAAAAAAAAAAAAAAAAAAATGAGAGAGAAAGAAAGAAAGTACTCAATTAACAGTAAAAGTACAATATAACTTAAGAAACATATGTTATTGACTTGGTATAATTTAAATTGGTATTTAAGTCATTACTCTTCTTCTAAAATGCAGGTGATGGTAAAAAATATTGACTTGCTCTTTTTTTTCCCCCTTTTTCCTATATATTACGCTTAAAAAGTTTTTTCAGTGACAGGTCCATCCTAGAAATATGAAGTACACGTCAAGAAGCTTACATCTACAATCAACATTAACTCCGTGGCACTGTCTATTGTTAACCATCCAAAAAAGAATGATGATACTGATACTTGGAATTAACAAACTACATTGCGTGAATTGAGAAAATCAGACAAGAAGTCAATTCCAAGCTGAATAGTGGCAAGATACTTAAGAATCCACGAGCTTTACGTATATACGCCAAAGTTTAAAAAAATGGAGACTTCCAACATAAATGAGATTATGAGATACATACACATAACAATCACCAAAATGCTACTTCTTGGTTTGCTAAGACATGAGGTATTTGCCTGAATATAACAGATGTTATCATGACATGGTATATACAAAAACAACTTTCCATACACATAGATTTTGTTATCCACTAAAAAATGTTATATATGATGGAGTTATCCTTTTTTGCAACTTTTATTATTAACGCATACTTTACTTAAGAATTAAAATAATCAAAACCCCTGATGCTTGGTTGGTGGAATAAATAACCAAATATCGAACACATGAGAGAGAGAGAGAGAGAGAGAGAGAGAGAGAGAGAAATTCTATGAGCTTCTGTTTGAAACTTTAGTCCTGGATTTCTAGTGTTTTTGGGGAACCAGGAGTTTGTGGTTAGTAGCTACTAAAGAAGCTGATATTTATGAATCCATATAAGTGCTAACCTGTATGCTTCGGTATCTCTTGGGCTACTAGATCATAGATGTACATTTAATTCGGAGACTGAAATACCCAAGTTAGTTCAAATCATTATAGTCGATAGGGGAATAGTAGGTTATATGTTTAAGTTATCGGTAGTTGTAGTGAACTTCCCTCATCTTATACTGACGTTTTGCGATGCTCTTTATACAACCATCGCCATTTCTTTTATTTCACTTCTTTCATGGCTATTTTCATTCATAAAATACTTTGACTTATGCATGTGTTCGATATTTGGTTATTTATTCCACCAACCAAGCATCAGGGGTTTTGATTATTTTAATTCTTAAGTAAAGTATGCGTTAATAATAAAAGTTGCAAAAAAGGATAACTCCATCATATATAACATTTTTTAGTGGATAACAAAATCTATGTGTATGGAAAGTTGTTTTTGTATATACCATGTCATGATAACATCTGTTATATTCAGGCAAATACCTCATGTCTTAGCAAACCAAGAAGTAGCATTTTGGTGATTGTTATGTGTATGTATCTCATAATCTCATTTATGTTGGAAGTCCATTTTTTTAAACTTTGGCCTATATACGTAAAGCTCGTGGATTCTTAAGTATCTTGCCACTATTCAGCTTGGAATTGACTTCTTGTCTGATTTTCTCAATTCACGCAATGTAATAAAAGAAATGGCAATGGTTGTATAAAGAGCATCGCAAAACGTCAGTATAAGATGAGGGAAGTTCACTACAACTACCGATAACTTAAACATATAACCTACTATTCCCCTATCGACTATAATGATTTGAACTAACTTGGATATTTCAGTCTCCGAATTAAATGTACATCTATGATCTAGTAGCCCAAGAGATACCGAAGCATACAGGTTAGCACTTATATGGATTCATAAATATCAGCTTCTTTAGTAGCTACCTCCCTCCCTCCCTCCCTCCTGTTAACACTTACTGAGCTAGATAAAGTTCACCATGATTAACATAATAGTAACTGGGACTGTATTAACACATTACTGATTACCCAAAAATAACGTGAACAAACGAACCAAAAAATAACTAAAAAAAGCAAAATCAATCTTATATAACCTATACGATTACCTTACACAAATATTTAATTTTCTAATTAAGCACCCCATATCCTTAAACCTTCAAAATCAGTATCCAAAAAAAAAAAGCGCACGCAAATTGCCCAAGTGAAACATACATTTCTCCTCCAGCAATAGCAAGAACCAAAAAAAGCAAGCTTTTTATAGTAAAACTCACCATTTCAAGAAATCAAAGGAATGAAATCTTTGGACTAATTTACACAGAAAAACCCTATACTTTAATACGGAACACGAAAACAAAAAAGAGGAAATGAACAGTTACCAGAAGAAGAAAGTCTAGAGACGCTACCTCCCTCCATCCGGTGACGAAATCCAGCCCTCAACTGCTCCTCAATCGTACACTCATCGACTGCTTCAACCAAACCCTAGCCGTTAGTCTCGTCCTTCAACCACCATAACTTTCACCGAACAAAACAATTGAAAAAAGAAGAAGAAGAAAACGAAAAAGAAGAGATAGAGAGAGAAAGCGACCGAGCGAAGTCGCGGGACATGGAGAGAGAACTCACCGAAGTCTTCGAGTTTCTCTGGGATCGAATTAGGGTTCCGGCGAAGGGTAAACAGAGCAGAAAACGACGACGAAGAGAGAGAGAGTAGAGAGAGAAAGAGAAAGAAGAGAAAGAAAGAGTACGAGCGTGTGTGTTTGAGATACTTTCTCAGTGGCTTTTTCGGTTTTTTCCCACTTTTTTTTTCTCTCTTTTCGTATTTGCTTGCTTGTTTTTCAAGGAGATAGATATTGTAAAAAACTAAAAATAGAAAAAATAGAAAAAAAAAAAAAAAAAATGTGAGATCAATTTCGAAATTTTTTTTTTTTTAAAAAGAGTTGTGGGGCAGACATTTGTATTTCCTGAGAAGGCCAGGAAATGGAGCTCGGCACGTGGCGGTTTGTGAGTAGTTGATGGAAAGCGTCTCGGATTAAGTGTAGGTGACAGCAGTCGTGAATGTACGAAAAAGGGGCGTAGGATCGAGGGACTGTGGTCAACGGATCTTCGTCATTGGACGGTGAGGATGGGGCTGTGAGGGAAGATGGGTGAACGGGGATGTGAGGATAGAGCGGAAGTTCCTTATCAAAACGGTGACAATTTTTATGCAAACAACGGGTAGGCACGTGGCAGGAGGAAGAGATCGGTCGTAAGATGTGCCTCAGCTCTACGGACTACTGGGACGAAAGAGATTCTTTTTTTTCTTTTTCTCTTCTTTTTTTGTTTGCTAAAAAAAAGAATATTTTTTTTTTGCTAAAAAGAAAAAGAAAAGAGCAAAAATCGAGTAAGAAAAGATAAAATTTTCTAAATAAATGTCTTCGGTGCAACAAATGTAATATTTTTATTTGTCTGTGACAAAGTTAAAAATTAGAATTATTTTTATAAATGTCTTGAATTATGTATTATATTTTAAAATGTTTCATTCAAAACAACTCCTTATTTATAAAAAAAAAAAAAAAAAAAAACACGTCAAACTACTCACTCCGTTTAAATCCGTCACGTAACAATCATTAAACATCAATTTAAACCACTAAATTATAATTAAACATATAAAAATGCATAAATATTTAAAGAATAAAAAAGAGAGAAAAAATTATTTATTTCAAAATTAAATTAAAACATAAACGATCCCACTTGTTAGAAAATACTGGAAAAACTTTTACTTTGCTCTTTTTGGATTACTCTCCTCAAAATCTTAGTATTTCTCTTTGATTTCCACTGAAAATATGTAAGAGATGTTTAGTTTGAGGATTCAAATTATAATTTAAATCATGGTTAATGATTCGTTATAATATTTTCTCTCATAAAAAATACACGTAAATTAAAAATAGTTCTAATTATATGATTTTAATCTATGAGTCAAACGTCTCCGTAAATGGTGTTAAAATATTTCTCATCACGAGTTAGACTTTTGTTTTCCTTAAATCTGGGTTTGTTTGATCTTAAATCTAGGTTTTTTTTGTCTCGCTCAAACTAACATCAACCACCATGGAGCTTAAATCTACAATTTTGTTTGATTGAAGAGCTTTCAATTGCAAGTCGAAGCCAAAGGATACCCAAAATAGAAGAGGAATTCGGGACAAATGGAAGAGCTCACGCCGGCGAGGGATGTAGCGATTCGTGTCACCGTACAACATGAAGATCGGCGTAGCGAGAGAGAAGAAGATCGCAAAGCCGTTGATAGAAGGTTGGCTCGCTCCGCCGTAAGGCCTTGGTTTGCGCAGCCGCCGGAAGAGGCTGGGTTTGCGTTGCCGTTGGTAGGAAAGAGGGCTGGGTATTCGTTCTGTCGAGGGGATCACATTGCCGTCAGGGCGTGGGGATCCGATCATCCATCGCCGTCGGGGGGGAGGGGGGTGGCCGGCATTGAAGCTTTCCGTTGTTATGATCTTGGTCTGATGTAACAAGTTTTGGTCAGTTGTGTAGAGAGAAGAAGGAGAAGAATGAGGGAGAAAATGTTAGGGGTTTTTTGTTATTATTTTTTTAATATTTTTAATTAGAATTTAATGTGTAGTTTGCCTTTTAATGACCTGCCACGTAGGCACTTATGTTAAATTTATAGACAGATTTTGACAGAAAAGTTAGTTTGATATCTTATTTATGTTTTGAATCATTTTGAAAAATTAATGACATTTTGAGATAAGGTACACGATTCAAGAGGTAATTATGAAAATAATTTTAAAAATTAATGTCGTTAAAAGATAATATTGAAACAAAAATTTAATGAGACTATAACATTAACTTTTAAATTTTTAGTGGGAGCTATGTATATATTAATATGATAAAGTATACATTTAAATATATAGAGTTTTTTAATATAAAAAAATTTAAGGGGGGTATAATGTCCCAAGCTACCTCTGTTTCATTAATATAATATCGTTGGTATGTTCGTGTAACACCCAATAAAATATAATCTCCTGCTATATTACATTATAATTGCTTCGGTGTTATGACGTCGAACTAAAAAAATTACAAGTCCATAGTAAAAAAATGTCACACTTGTTGTATCATATGCCCACCGTGCTCTAAAATAACACATATAATTTTGGATAAATTTTAAAAATACTCTCGAAACTTTAATCAATTGTTCATTTTGACTTTCAAACTTTAAAAAGTGGTATGTTCACCCCTTAGACTTTAAATCGTTAGTGACAATGCCCCTTCGGTCCATTGACTTCCATTTTATGCTAATGTGTACATACTTGTAAAGGTCATTCACCTAATTTTATAATATTTGCAGGTAATTAACTAGTAATTTTTGGAGAAAATTTGAAAACCAAAAAAGATATTTGCTTACATTTCTCAAGAGAATACCCATCGATCATGGTACTTCTTAGAACCAAACCAACCATCATCTTTTTTCTTAATAATTCAAAGAAAAAAATAATATAATACTACAATACATTAAAATTTAATGTGAATTCAATGTGATGTTATTCTAGTGAAGCATTAAAAAATAATATAATTGCCTTAAAAAATACTATAATAGATAAATTCTTTAAGGAAAGTAAAACATTTTTTAAGCTACTAAACATGTTTCTGATTTTAAATTATCACATCTATATAAGATTCTGTCAATATTGTTTTCTTTTCCATTACGATGTAATTTTGATTTGACTAACTATCCATTATTGTATGATATATAGTGCTGTAAAAGACTTCAAAAAAATTAAAAAAAAAAAGGAAAAAAAGATGCTGTAGAGGAAAAGATAATAAAGCAAAATTTATCCACCCCGCCCCCACCAAAAAAAAAAAAAAAAACTATGTTTGAGTCATGAATTTGGATAAAACTAAAAATTGGGAAAATAGTAATTTTTTAAGAATGGGAAAATAGGAATCTTTTCATATTAAATAAGTAATTATTTAACATATATTTTTTTAATCAGAAGTAATATCAACTGCTACAAGATTGTTTATTTGTATATATTATTATTTTAATTGGTTGCTGAGTTTGAAAGTGTAGATGAAGAATTAAAAGGTGTGGCCAAAGAAAAATTAAGGGCCGCAATTATAATTTTAGCAAGAAAAATAAAAGACCATAATGCTGATGTGAAATATTCCGATTCATATATGTTTGTTTGTCAAAACTCAAAAGTATTCATTGATTCTGGAGCATTATTAATAGACCCTCCAAAAGTTAAGCGAATCACCAACTTCATATTTGTACTCACAAGTTAAAACATTAAAATAAAATAAAAAAGAAAGCTGAAAAGGTTCATATATTTTAGCATTAAATTTGACATGAAGTGTTGTATCATGTCAAAATCTGAGGGGACAATAATATACAATTAAGGCTGACCCAACTACTATTGTGTCACGAAAACAATAATATTAAAAAAACCAAAGTGTACATAATTACTCTTTTTCCTCATAAAGAAGAAAGAGAAAGGGAAGGAATAGCAAAAATGTTCCTCAACTTGTCACCATTTCAGATGCCCTCTTATTTCAGAAATCAGAAAGTTACGGAAATTAGATTCTTGAAGAACCAATGCTGCAAAAAAAAGTCATGTAGTAATCACTAATGAGGACGTTTAGTTTATGTTTTCAGAATATGATTCAGAATTATTCTAGTTTTACGTGTATTTTTTGTGAGAGAAAACACTGTAAAAAACCATAAATCATAATTCAAAATCAGGGACGAATATAAGAAACAAATGTCTCTACGGTAGGATTTGGTAATTGGTAAGAGGTAAGAGGTAAAAAGAAAATAAAAGAAAATAAAAGAAAAATATTGGTTGTGTCGTTGCTTTTTAAGGGGGGATTTTTAGGGTTAATTTCAAATTTAACTCCTCAAGAATAAGGTTTATCTCATTTTAGTATTTATATTTAAAAATACCACAGAATTGATCCATAAGCGGTTAGAAGCAACAATTTTCGTACTTCTGTCGATGAAATATTAATTTTAAACAGTTGGAAACACATGTGATTCATTTTTAAAAGACAATATGAGATAAAGATGACGAGGGATTGTGAACAAAACACTTACAATTTGTTTTTGAATTTTTTAAAAAATTTTAAAGTCTATTTTGTTTAACCCGTACTTGTTTAAAATTCTTAGAAAAATTGACGTTCTTAACAAAAGTAAAATTGTAACTTTTGATAAGTTTGGAGGTCAATCCTATGCTATTTTGAATTTGTGATCAACCTAACTTGTGTTTGACTTTTATCCTGTAAAAGCTGTTTTTTCCCCTTTTTTGAAGGCAGTAAAAGTTTTATTTATTTATTTATTGTTATCATCGGTATTTATTTAAGATTATTTTTAATTCATCTCATAAATTTTTAAAATTTTCACTTTTTTTAAATTTTGAATTATTCCTACTTAATTTCTTTTATTGGAAATTTTTTTTAAAAATAGATAAAAAAAAGTAATGCAATCACGGTTTTTAAATTTAAATTTTTGTTAAAAATAAATGGATAAAAACTACATGACAATTTCCTCTTTTTTCTCTATGATTTTAACAAAAATTCTTAGAACTTAAACTAATCCAAAATTTATGGAGTTTGAATTTTTAAAATTTAAGAGAAAAAATGTTTCTAAAATTTAAGGACACTAATGATAATAATTTTTTTAAATAAAAGAAAAACTGTATTTGTCTATTCCTTGTTATTATTATTATTATTATTTATTTTGTGAGCTATTGATGATGATAAGATGATGTCAATATTTGAACTTCAGTTGTGACAGCTTTGCAATTGGCATAGGCCCATAGAACTGTCCCCAATGGCCAATGGGACCACATTTTTTTCCGATTAAATAAATACTTTCATTATCCTCTTTTGAAAAGGAGAAAATAATTTTCAGTATTTTCTATACGATATTCAACACTTTTGAGATCAATACATTGCAGTTTGGGGAGAACTAGACTTATGTTTTACTCTGAATTGAGATAAGGTATTGTGTCTCGTTCATTAATTCGACTTTAAAATTTGAGTTTTACTGTAATAAAAAATTATCAGAAACAGTTACATTTAATTTTTTTTTTTTTTTTTTTTTTTTGCTACAGTAAAAAATTCTTACATAAGTCACATCTCAACTCGAATCAACGACCTAAACGAGCCTTATATATTTTTCCTTCCTATTCTTCTTTCCTATTTTCCAAACTATTACTATTTTTCTTTCCCATTTTAGAATCCTCCTACTCACATTTTTTATGTTTAGGCTCTCCGACTCAAAATCTAGTTTTTTAGGTTTAGGCTCTCGGACTCAAAATCTAATTTTTAATATAGGGGCCTTCATAACTCGTTTAGCAATAACCAATTCATCGGAGACTATAATGAATTACGGGTATTTAGAGTTACGAAGGTGTTGTTTCAATGGTCCCAATATTTTTCTTGAGAGTTTGGAGATCACTAGTGAAATTAATCCAATAAAAAGATGTAATTTTTGGGTTTGTGGATTTACAAGTCACCTCATGCGCTCATCCAAGAGAGAGAATCAGCTATATCATGCAACAGAAATGCCAAGATCATTAGACTATTGAGCTAATTACAATGAATTAGAGTACAAAATGATGGACTTTTTGGATTGTAGGCTACAACAAAAAGTGCCTACAAATCCAAAAAGTGGTGGCTAAGAAAACCAAGATCAAAGGTAAAAGTAAATGGAGGTAACACTAATTGACTAGTGTGAGATAAGAATGTTGTCCCTTCTGCTAAGCAATTTGCCAATGCCTTAAAAATTAGTGACCTCGTGAATTTCTACAATAGCACATCGAGGGAAAATTTAGAAAAAAAAAATGTCACACCCACCATGGCTTTTCGGTTAGGTCCTTCGAGAGTACATACCGGAACCTTGAGCTGTAAGGCAACCATTCCATGATCTGAGACGCCTTCTTGCTCGATTTGCACCCGAGACATTTCTGTATCGAATCGTGCAGCTTCTTGTCGACGTTTCCGGCGACCCATTTCAGGAGATCCTCCGAGCCAAAAGATGCTTCCCTTGCAAATCTCTCAAGCATCTTTGGTAGAAACACTTTCCTTGACTTTTTTACTACTACATTGGCTTGGAGAAACTCTTTTTTGGCCTCTTCCAGCTCTTCTCGAACATTTGAAGCCGAGTAGACTCTCAACTAGAAACAATTACAAAAAGCAATTAAGCCAAAATTAGATTTTAAGAGAATGAGTTAAAATCAATCAAATGAATGATAGAAGTTGGTACAAGATGGAAACATTACATAGTTAAATAGTTATGTTAGAGGTAAAAGTATAATTTTATCAGGAATAATAGTAATTTGCCCGAGTTGTAAACATTAGTAGTAAAAAAGTACATAAATTCATCTTTCTTTCAAGTTGCATAAAGAACAATAATATTTTTCAGTCTAATTCTGTAAGCTTACATCCTCATATGTTCTGAAACTGATACAGTTCACCAGGATTTAGCTTTCTAAAACACCTTACAGTAGTGCAAAAAATGAATGTTTTAGCTCAAAGAAATAAGGTTGATTGGACAAAAGTCTTCAAAGGATGGGATTCAGAATGTAGTAATAATTTACCATGGGGTCAGAAAAAGCTCCAGAGCAGAGAGCAAAGCAGACTAAGGTTTGGGAATTCGGAAGACCGAATTTCGAACTGAGTCGTCTATCTTCACCGGATTTTTTTCTTAAGGCGGCTGAAAGGATGGTTTCAAGCCACTGTAAGTTAAAAGGTAGATAAAACATGAGTGAGAATAAGAAACATGGTGCTTCATTTTCATCCAAATACACGGAGTCATTGATGAAAATTAGTCTTTCTAAGGACTCGAGTTTCCATTTTAAAATATCAACCTGTTAACTGAGATGACCTAATATCCTAATAAATTCATATTTATCTGTATGTTTAAACGACGTGGTACTCGGGTTTATTTTACCTCCAAACAAGATGAGTACGAAAAACCAAAGTAATCTCTGCCAAATAGATCAATTTAATATGTATAGAGAGAGATGTCCAGAAAGAAAGCAAAGAAAAATCCTTTTGTACTACTAAAGTAACTCAAGCTTATAGAAAGGGGGTTAAATAGCTTCACACTTTCACATTTTTAAGCGAAATAAATCAATGATATGAAGACACAAATAGCTGAAAAGTCCTTGAAAATTGTCAATTACACTCATCTTATGCTGAAAGAAACGGAACTGTTGAATTGGTATATATAAGATAAGGACACTCATGTTGTATATTTAGGTTATGCCACACTCATATAAACTTGCATATGCAGATTAAAATAGTATGAAAATTCGCCATACAACGGAAAAACAGAAAACAACAAAATTGACAGGTAAGTCTTGTGAATTAAACAAAAGTAAAAGTGAGTACCCATCCGATACGGGGTGTTCGGAAGCAAAATATGGACTGCTCTATGGCGTTTGCGCTGATGACACGGCCGCCAATGTTGTAAGCAGCCTGCACTATACCAAGAAGCTCATAGCTAAGTTTTGTAGCTAGAATCACATAGAAAGAATACAAAAGAACATGGATAGATTCCGCGGGAAACTTGCGAAAGCACTGAAAACCCGCCAAAAAGCATTTAAATAGATTGACATTTTTATGTCAACCTCTAGCTCTTCAGTTACTCTTCTAAATCCAAATTGTTCTAAATAACACCATTCCAATGATTATTCTGATACAAGAAACATAGCTCTATGTGTTCCTTGGCACGTTTTTTCAATAGAGTAATAGAGGGGAAAAAAAAAAGGAATTAGAGAAAATCATTTTAGGCAAAGAAAAGGCATAATCAGAAAAAAGTGAACTACCTTGTGAAACAAAGCCAACCTTCTTAGAGAGCTGTTTGGAATGCCATATGCTAAATACGCCTGCACAAGGTAAAGCAGAAAGTTATGTAGAAGTTCAAAAATTTTGGTGGCACAGAACCAATAATGATTTAAGGCAATTATTTACATGCATAATAAGAGCATTGTACACATTGATCCAAAATGCAGTCTGAGCATTTGTTTCCATCTGACTGACATTTATTCTCTCCAGCTGTTCAACTAAAACTCTGAAATTGAAAAAAAAAAAAAAAAAAAACAGGAAAGCATTTGTCAAGTGAATCTCACAGAGCCACAAAGATGAAATTTACATGCTGAAAGGAGTAACTCATTTTATTATCCAATGTTTGTGAACTAAGATACATTTGCTTGCTTAAATCATCTTATGTGAATATATGTTTCTTGAAACAGCGGATGTGTGGACAATGCTTCTCCTTCTATATGGACAAGTCTGGTATATTTTTAAGGCAAAAATAGGATATTAGGTAGAAGGGTAAAAATGGTATCATATGAGTCAGTGGGGGGGGCCACATAGTAATGAGTGAGGGCACGTATCTCTACTCAACTTTTAAAAAAAAAATTATAACTGTGTCTCCATTAATAATTATAATATATCGTTGTGCTCATATTTTATCAGAAAAATTATAATTGTGTCTCACTTAATAATTGAAATATTTACCTATTTTTCCATCCTATAAAAAGTATATTTTTTTCCCTTTTTTAATAGTTCCTGGACTGAAAAATTTTCTGGATCCTCCAGAGTTCCTAAGAAACCCGTCAAGGCAATAGGAAGGAGCTAGAAAAAGGCCGGTCATGACCATTCCTCTCTACTAGCATTCTATGTCTTTGGATTGGTCAAACAAACCTGTAGTTGTTAATGGCACAGGAGGCATGAGAAAACTGGCTCTTATCAGTTGATATCCACAATATTTCTACCATGGATTGTCCAGACCAGTCTTGGTCGTCCCCAACACCGCGTCGAGGCTGTATGACATTAGTGGATGACCTTGACAAGAAAGGCGATCGGTTTTTCTCGGTACTTACAGACGCTGTACCACGAAGCCAATAGCAAACAATGGCCATACACCTGACCATTTCCTCAGACAACTTGCTTGGGCATTGGTGGAGGTGATCTCTCAGAGTTCTCAGTATAGAAGCTTTCTCTGCCGCTGGAACCTTTTGAAGGACATAATAAAAGTATAAGATAAAGAAGCTTTGATCTTGAAACACCTAATAACCTCTGTAAGGTGATTCTTTTATTCTTTTGATACTTCCGTTTGTTTATTTTGGCTGTGGATTCAAATTTTTTATTAAAAGATGAACATGCAATAAGTGGCCGGAATTTAGACACCAAGCACTAAGTTGTGGAGACTAATTTTTGTCCCAACTCATAGACAACACATGCGCTCTCATATTGATATTGAACCCCTGTAAATCTTGCGTGTTTTTACTTGTTCGCTTTTCTTCTTCGATTCTATTGCTCTCTAACAGTATAGAATCAGGGTGTCTAATTCTTAACAGTAGGTTCTTTCTCGGCCAGACTTTTGGTCTGGTTTAGTGTTCGGAAAATCCCAAACGGATAGTTTTGGTTTGGATTGCAGTTTGGCATCCAAACCACAAACCCATATTCGTGGACATCCCTATCCAAAATGGACATTACACAGCAATTTCCCTATAATAGAACGTAACTAGGGTGTGCAAACATACATTTGAATTGGAAGAAGAATAATGCATAAAACTTACCTTGTTTGAGCCTGAACAAGACTTTACAGAATCAGTGTCATTTCTACCGTTGGACAAATGAACATGACCGGTTTTAGTGGATCGTTTCCCCGAGCCGTCTATAGAAACTAGAGCTTGCCATGGCCGGAAAGGGAACTTTTTAGATGAACAAAATGCACTTGATATGATACTAGGATGTTTCCTGGATTCATGCTTCGGAAGTGCAGGAGAAGTCATACTCGAGTTCTGCTCTGATGGCGGTCTGCTCACACAATTTTCAAAAATATTTCTGTACAGAGAGAGAACATGTTGCTCGCGGTTCGCGACTTCTTCCTCAAGTAACTCAATTTCAGCTATCAATTCCTTTGTCTGTTTTTTTTTGGTTCTCAATTGAAAAAAGAAAAAAATCTGTTTACGAACTAAAACTCCCCAATATTCAAGCTCATAAATGCAATAAAGCAAACTCCAAATGGTACAATGTCATGAGAAAAGAGAAATAGATAAGAAGCAGTTGGAAAATTCAGCAACGTCTTTTTGATTACCTGAGCAGCAAAATGCCTATGCCCAGGAGATAAAGTACTCGAAGCGCGGCCCATCGCCCTCTCAAGGACAATGCGCATCGACTTCTCTTGCTGCAAACGCAACTGCAGCTGCTCAATCTGAAAAGAGAGCAAAACAATAAATATGATTCAGTTAAATGTCACTGAAAACACAAAACTACTTAAAATATTCTTAGATTTGACCATTCTTCATAAGAAAGGACTTCCAATAGGATCTTCTTATCCTGTATTGCAGCTAATTTTACTCAAACAACATTGTGAATAGTTTGCTTCATTGCTTAGGGGAAAAACCAACGGAAGGAAAGAGAATTGAGGAGAATGGATGCAAAACAATGCTATCGTACACAAGAAAAAACAGTTCAACAAATTCAAATTTAATTTCGGTTGGAATTCGATGAAAATATAGTCCTTGTCATATCACTAGACCAACAACCACTTTGTGTTTTGTAAAATGTTGTCAAGAAGAGCAAACTAGCATTTTATGCCAACATGAACTTTGGTTAAAATTGATACTGTAATCAAAGATGTTTTTGCCTTTTTTCCATTTATTCCTGAACAATACAAAACCTCACATTGCAGGAAACACATAAATTCTTTATGATACTAGCTACTAGAATTCTTAATACTCTTTACTTTTTGTCATGACCACTCCGATTTTCAATCTCATACCTCAAACTGAGAGAACATTTAGATTGAAATAAAGGAATATTAATTTTTATTCTTTGAACGTGGAATTATCGCGAGGCCATACTCAATGTTAACCAAAAGACAATACAAGATAATAAATGCACACACATATTCCTCTCATCTCCTATTATAGTGCACAACTTTATTTTGGAAAGGGAAATATTTACATATATATATATATATATATATATATATATGTTGTATAAACTTTCTTGCTTACATCTTTCTCCAAAGAGGCTCGGTGCTTAGTTGGTATATTCTTGTTAGTGTAGATAGAATTGTCATGCAGAGAACATTGTCCCCTAGGAGCACTTGTTGAAGGTAATGGTGCCTGTTAAATTCATTCAAAAGTAGTAAATTATCTGATCTTGTACACCCGTGATCACACTGGGTCTTAGCCTTTTTACGCAATATTAATACTACATGCAAAAACTAACATGAAATCCTGTTCATCAATTGAGATAGAAGTCTCACATCTGTTTCGTTCTGGTCCTTCGTGGAACTTGATAATCCACATCTGAGAGCACTGGAGTTCCTATCAGAAGCACTGGACATGGAAAGAAAACGCAAAAGTCATGGAAGCGTGCTTGGGGTAAGACAGAAAAAGAAAAATCATGTAAGAAAATTTTCCTTCAACTATGTCACTTGTATTAGCATGGCTCCTCAAACTTTAAAATATACTGTTAAAGTATAAAATTATTGTTGGTCCACCTCCTAATAGCTTAAGCTTTTGGGATGGATTGGTAAACTAACATCATATCAGAGCGGGAGGTCATGAGTTCAAACCCCTGTAATTGCACTCTTTATCCCCATTTTAAAATTATCATCATGTGTTGGGTCTTTAATATATCTCGGACTTAAATATTCACGTGTTGAGCTTTCTAATTAATTTATCAACACGATTGCCCATTGTCCAGCCCACACGTGAGGGGGAGTGTTAAAATATAAAACTATTATTGACCCACCTCCTAATAGCTTAAGCTTTTGGGATGGATCGGTAAATTAACATATACTTACTGTGTCCCCAAATTAATGGAATGTCTCCAATTTTATCCCTCTGTTTAAATTCATCTATTTTTCTTTTTGCAAAGACAGACCCTAATATCATTTAATTAGGTAGTTTGTAGTTTTAACGGATTTGAAAATTTTGTCCTCTTCATGCATGTTTCATGTCTCATTCTGTCCAAAAATAATATACGGATATTTTAACAGAGGAGGTAAATTGGACAATATGTACATTTCAAAATTGAGAGATATGTTGACACAAGTAACATTATTTAATGAAATTTGTGTTTGTCAAAAAAAAAAAATGTAAATATCCCTAGTTGCTCTCTCTTTGTTTTTTTTTTTTTTTTTTTTTTTTTTTTAACTGGTAAAATTTTAATGAAGAAACAAACAATGCTTAAGCCTACAAGTCACCTTGCGTAAGAGGAACAGTTCAAATTCACCAAAAAGCACTTCAACTGCCGCAATCTTTTGACAAATCACAAACAGTTCATTCTCTCACAATCTTAAAATAAAATCAGCCAAAAACATGAATGTTCATTTGAAAAGATTCTCCCTCCCTGATTTTGAATCATAATTTTTTAATTCTCTATAGTATTTTTCTCTCATAAAAAATTTAAATTTTAAAAATTAGAATCATAACATGATTCTGAATCCATGAACCAAACGTCCCATAAGAAATCTTTCAATTTTAGATCAGCCAATAAAGGTATCCAAAAAAAAAAAAAAACTAAACCTTAGAAGCATCATAACAAAAACACCATTAATTTTTCTATCTTCTATTTCCTTTTTCCAAAGAAAAAATGTACAACTCTTTCTAAAAGCAACAAAAATTAAGGTCCAGCAAAAGAGATACACACGATCATTTTACAAATAAAAATACCCATTTTAAGGAACAAAAAGAAAAATCTCTTCAAACTTCCAAAAAATTAAAAAGAAAACAGTTACTTTATGTCTCACTAGATTACATCAAAACAAACATAACAACCACAAAGATCACAACAACAACAACAACAACATTAATATCAATAATAATATTGATTCGAGTTTTATAGTTGCAGGCGTAATCTAACCATAAATCTACTCTAAACGTAAAATTCAAATCCCCCACCTCAAATTCAAAAAAAAAAAAAACAAAAAACAGTTTTGAGTAGTACTACACCTCTTAGAACGCCTGTGCTGAGCACGAACAAGTAAGCCAGCCCAAGAATCTTCTCCATTCTCTCTCTTCCTGCTTACTTGATCTTCATTTTCTTCCCCAACTCCACCTACAGTATTACTAAAACCACGCATATTATTATAACCTCTTTTTTTCTCTTTTTTTTCCCTTTTTCCTCAACTTCTCCCAAACCCCAGAAAAAAAAAAAAGACTATTTTTTCAGTCTCCTAATTTCTCCTCCTCTATAAGTAGTGCCCAGAAAACCACTACAACACATTGCCACGAAACGTCAAAGAAGGATCCAAAAGTGGAGTACTACTACTGCAACAAACCAGACAAAGATTATAATTATCATGACAACCTAGTGGTAAATGGGCAAAGACAGAGTGAAAAAAGTAAAGAATGGAGAGTTTTCTCAAATGGGTAAGTTTGAATTTGAGTGCCTAGCTCTGTGGTGGTGGGATCATATGTGATATATTTTTTTCCTTTTCTTTTGTTGGTCTGATAAGTTAGTAAATAATATGAGCAAAAACTTTTAATTACCAGGAAAAGTTGAAAAAAAAAAAAAAAAAGTAGAGTCTGATCTCCTGCTACTGAATGAAGAATTTAATTCTGGGTTGGTGAGGAATTGAATGCGAGGAGTTATTATTAGGTCACAAAAAATCTCTCTTCTCTCTGGTCTTGTGTTTGAAATGGAAGTATTTTTGTGTGACCAACAAGAAGTTGGAGTGGAGGCTAGTACTGCATGGCATGGGACGACTAACCCGCCAGTCACTTCAATTTTTTTTTTTTTAAATAAAAGAAAAAAGTTATTGAAGCGATTTTTCTCATTTCAGTTTGTTATTGCTTGGTAAAATCAAAATTCAAATCTTTTTGAAGTGTTGTTACTTCTGAATTATTGATCGGTTGGACAATTTATGATGTACAAAAAAAAATCTATTTATAGAAATTTTGAACCATTATATCACAATATTTTAATAAATTTTGATGAATATTTAATGGTTTAAATTTGTGTTTATTATTATTTTTTTTACTCTAACAAAGAATTATCGTTATAATTAAGGGAAATAGTAAAAAATAGGCTAATATGAAAAGCTTAAGAAAGTATATAGGCCAATTTTTAGTTATAGAAATTAATAGGCCATAACTTGTCAAGTTATGGTTCATAACCAGATAAGTTATGGACAAACTTGTCAAGTTATGGTTCATAGCCAGACAAGTTATGGACAATTATGGGTAATAACTTGTCAAGTTATGGTTCATAGCCAGACAAGTTATGGACAATTATGGGTAATAACTTGTCAAGTTATGGTTCATAACCAGACAAGTTATGAACGAAAACAGTAATTTAGCCTATTTATTAACTTATGTAAACTATTGGCCTATTAATTTTAATTCATCTCAAATCTTGGTCTATTTTCCTCTTTCTCCCTATAATTAATAGTATAAACCATTTGGTTTATGAATTTGTTTTTAATCTAGTAATTCTTGAACAACTTATTTTTATAATTTTTGAATTTAATACTTTTTAAAATCCTTGTTTATGACCATAAAGTTGACAATAAATATTTTTAAATTTGATTAAGTAGATACATATCATCACTGATAATTTAAATTTTTGTTAAAAAAAAAAAAAAAAAAACTTAAATTTTTACAGAAAACGGTGGCAGAAGGCGCAAAATATTATCTTCAATGCTCTTAAATATCTCTTGAACTCATAATATTGTTGTATATTATGAGACTGTATTTGTAAATTTCAAGTTTTTACCCATTGTGCACGTCACTACCTCGGTTAAATTTAAAAACTCTACTACCTTAGTGATACAGCGGAATGGATAATGAAAAGATTTTACCGGCCTAACCCGAATGAGAGACGGGATATACAATTCCAATCTACCTAAAAGAACTCCGTGAGGGGAAAATCCCCAAATTAGAGAGAAAATAATTAAATATTATAATTTTCAATTATCAAGATATTTAAAATCCCCTAATACAATAATTAAGTGGCTATCTATAGCTCACATAGAAAATGATTACAAAATAACAATTAAGAAAAATAACATAATAATAATAAAACTAAGCGAAATTAGAAAACTAGAACAAATGACAATAAAATATAAAAACGACTATTAATGTTCAAATCTCGCTATATCAGTTCACCCCCCGTCTACCCAAAAAAAGAACTCGACCTCAAGTTCGGTAGATGCACTCGGAAATGAACCAATAGTAGCTAGCGACAATGTGAAATGAAGGAAGCTCAGGAAAGTCAACATAAAAGATACCCCTATTAGTCTCGTGGGAATGGTAGACTCCAACTGAAAACTATCTCTGAAGCTTGCCCTAAATCTATAGTGGCACCAAAGTAATCCTCCAATAGAACTCTGAAAATGACTAAGCTATTCGCCATTAGAAACCACTTAATGCACTAGTGAGGTCTCCAACAAGGTGGATGTGGAATGGGTCGAGGTTCCTAATAAACCCAACAAGATCCTGCTTCAATTCAAGTTCACCCATAACAAAGCTATCTTTCTTCAATTCAAGCTCATCAATCACTAAGACATCTTTCTTCAATTTAAGCTCATCCACAATTAAGTCCGCAACAATCAACTCTTGTTCCTCTTTAGACCCTTCTTCAAAAGTGCCCTCACTAAGCTCCATAAGATCACATTCAACTTTCATTGCTAAATTAATAGGATGAGACAAATTAAGCACCATCAATATAGAAATTTCTTCTCGAATTTCTTTCTCCAATCCGCTAAAAAATCTAATACTACATTGAATCTCAAGTTCACCAACATTAAGCATCATACTTAGCTTTTGGAACTCAAAAGTTCAAGACCTTATAGCGCTGAATAACTTTTTACCTATTTATAATTAGTCGAATTTAAACTTTGTTTTAAAATAATATTCAATGCAATATACAAAAGTAAGTAATTTGTTTATTAAATATTGTACTTTTTGTCCAAAATGACCGTTTATATTTAAGTAAAGGGTCTTTTTGTGGTGTTCTTTCTTTTCTAAGAACATCAGTGTTTCTTATTTATCAGTTATTAGATCTGTTTTAAATTTCGTCAAAAGTTAAATTATATTAAAAATATAATACAGATCAGACGGCTGGTAAACAAAGAACACCGATGTTTTTAAAAAAGAGGAAACACCGGAGAAATTTCCTTAAGTAAATTTTAAAAGAACTATAGGATGATGAGAACAAGAACAATTCAAGTACGTTGCACATTTTCTTTTTTTTTTTTTTTTTTTTTTTTCTTTTTTTGAAGAAACTCTTCAAAGTTGCACATTTTCATACATGCCAATTGCCATATATCCAAAACTGCCGAAGTGCCCAAGTCGACCCTATCAACAAACATTCCCTCTTAAAATCACCCCATAGGCAGACTTATAATAAGAGAATTATGATCCAGTAGTTTCCTACGTATATATTATTTCTCAATTAATGAAGGTCAAATTTCTATTTTCTTTATTATCTTTTTATAATTAAATATTCTGAGACAATAGGTTTCACTCCGGGATCTAAATAAAGGATTATACTATATACGTGTAGACCTTGGGCCACCCTAATACATGAACTAAAGTGGGGGACATTTATACTTACAAACCTTAACATGAATCCTTTGAGAACTTAGACATAAAAAAAACGTATTGACAAGAATTAAGAAGGCCCAACTTAGACTAAGAAATATCTTTCAAATTCAATAACTTCCCCCTACGTCTGATTGTCATTTTCATGGACTATAACTGATCAGTGGCAAAACTAAGGGTTTGTTCTTGTGGAGTTTAACTTGAGTATAATTTTTGAATTGATTAAGTTATAACTTGAATTGAACTTATAATTTGAGTTTGTATTTAGTTGTGTACATTTGAGTTATGGTTTGAGATAAAAATCTTTTTGAGTTTGTGTTTGAGTGAGTCAAAACTTGAATTTGTATTTAGACAGTATTTTAATAAAAACTCAATGTTGATGAAAAATTTTAATAGGGTATATGGATCGGGTTTTATTCGTCTTTTCGTTGTCAACGCATAGAAAAAAAATCATCTCAATCAAAATTAAAATGAAAAAGTGGCCTCGTTCATTTAGCTGATTCGAGTTTAGAATTCGAGTTTTACTACAGTAAAAAGTTCTCAGAAACAGTCACATCTAACTTTTTTGCTACAGTAAAAAGCTCTCACACAAAATCACATCTCAACTCGAATTACAAACTCGAATCAGCGAAGTGAACGGGATAAGTTTTCCTAAAACAATAGTATCTTGTTCATTTACTAGACCGCATTTACAATCATTAATATTTTCAAGACATACTTCAATGCATAGGAACAGTTCCAAGCAAAGAACATGGTCAAATAATAGTTTTGTGCCTGTGAACAGGTCAAACGACATGATAAAATGAATGGAACTTATGAAGTGTAGCTATTCATTTTTATCATAAAGTGTATGTTAGGTTTAAATCCTTCTACATAAGTAGTATATTTAAATATTAGACATACTATTGTCTAAAAACAGTGTAGACAAATATAGTGTATATTTGAATATTAACTCTCTGATTATGTTCTTTCAATACGTTCAATATTCCTCTCTTTTTGATGAATTGTGGTATCTATCTATAAGTACATATTTATCGGTCAGAGCAAGCCGCCCTATTCTATTACCAGACATAATTGGGAGAAGCTCATCCGAAAGTAGAAACGTTTTATTTCGTTTCGTTCTCGTTCTTCATTTTTTTCTTCTCGCAAAATTTCTCATATTTAGAATTTTTCTGCAGTGTACTCCGTTTACTATTCTTTCGTGGCGCCTTTCGAAGCACTCTCTAGTGTGCGCTTTAGTTTGATGGCAACATAGCGCTTTACTAATAACGTAGAAATAGCTTTTCTCGTTTGTTTAGTTATCAGATAAGACCCGCTTCCTATTAATTGCGGAGTTCATGCTTGTAGTCTATCCTTTGGACTTGTTCGTTACCCTTCAGTGTCAAGATTCTTACATCCACCACATTTTGTTCATTTTGACTTCCTTAATCCTTATCTACCATGATCTAGAAAGTACTAATCTTCTTTTATTTTTATTTTTTCTCTTTTGTTCTAATTATTTTTGTTAATACTAATCTGTTGGCTTAGCTAGCTTTGAGTCATTTTGATTAGGTAGCGCCTAGCTGGATTGATGTCTCTATATGATTGTTTCAAAGTCTTAAGCTGACAATTTTTATCATAATATATTCTTTTAAGAATCTTAGGCTGAAGTAACCTTATATATTTAAGAAAAAGAAAAGACTCGCGGATATATAGACTCCAAAAATTAGGAAAAAAAAATAAAGAGTACAGAGTAAGAGACAAAAGCCAGTAAATTCGATAATAGTTGGCTGTATTTGGGCTGGAATAAGTTCTGAATTCAAAATCTCAGCCACACAAAAACCATGAAAAAAAGGTTCCTTAATTTAAAAAATAAATAAATAAAGAAGGGACCACGGGGGCTTTATAGTTCTTTCTTTATTTTCCTTTTTACCTTTTTTTTTTTTTTTTTTGGGTGCAAAGGCTTTATAGTTAACATGTTTTTCAAAATTTAGAAGTGGAAACTAAAACAAATATAATGAAAACTCTTTTTTCATTATGATTCTATTAAGAAAAGTCTACATTTCTACCCAAATTTTTTTTTTTTTTTTTATGAAGAACTCCATTTGCCCTAAGCAAGCGATATTCAGAAAACTTAGAAATGTAATTTGACTTTTGAAATGACAACCTATGTGAATATTTTTAATGCGCTAACAATGCTATCAATTGTATATATTTGAGTTTGGTCATTTTGGATAATTAGGATGAATAGAAAAACAGCTTAATCTTTTTTTTTTTTTTTTTTTTTTTTTTTTTTTTTTTTTTTTTTTGCCTTTTTCTTCTTGCAATGCCTCTCTTATCACTTATCAGTTCTCTATTTCTTAAAACGGAATACTTTTTCCCTTTGGATCATGCTGCACTCAGAAGATCTCTAAAAAGATTAGATCAAAACAAAGTTGGTTTAATTTGGTATCGTGTGCTATCACTCTTTTTATTATATATATATATATATATATAATTACGTGTTCAATTGCATTTGTACATTAATTAGCACGTTAATAAACAATACAAGTTTGCTCCGCAAGGTGCTCTAATTTTAATTATTAAAATCATGAGAAAAATAATAAATAAATAAATAAATAAAAGAATTTCCATGGGTTTTCCACTTCACGAGCCAACTACTACGGATGCCAACGCAAATGATTAATACCAACTCCAAACAATTTTGTTTAAGCATTACTTTTTTAGTTTTTTTTTTTTTTTTAATAAGCACGTACAGCCACAATGGAATCTTAATATTATCTTAAAACAGTGGATTAATAAAATAATCCACGATCAATAACTCCATTTCTAATTAACTAATCACACGTAACTTCCATTTACGGAGAAAAATAGACAGCAAATTTGATTGATATTGGCGTAAAAAAAATTAACTTTGTGTTAATTGTTAAAAAGAATGGAAAAAATTATTGAATAGACATAATAATATAGAAGAGGGAATAAAATAAAAGGGATGTGGCATTGAATTCGACCTTTCTTAGAAGTAATAATAGTTAAAAGTATGGCTTTGTTAAAAAAAAAAAAAAAAAAAGTTAAAAGTATGGCAATAATATTTCACAAAAGTAAACACTAATGGCAACAAAGGCCTACTGAATTTAAGAACCACTATAGATGATCTTAAATTACTAGCAATAAAAAAAATTACTAGCAATAAATCCACATTTTTTTATACTCCCCTATAAAAAAAAAATCAATTCACATATTAAAATATAAACCTTACGTTAACATCTAAAATGTTGTCACCCACATCGATGAAATTTCAATCACGTATTAAATAGTAAATTAAATATTGGCTACTCAGCCTAAACTCTCGAAAATATTCTAAAGGAACATTCTTATCTCCTTTATGGTATTAATATTCAGGGTCTGCCAATTAAATATTGACTTCTCAGCCAAAAAAAATAATAATGCAAAATGGGGGAGCTAAACTCTCGAAAATATTCTAAAGGAACATTCTTATCTCCTTTATGGTATTAATATTCAGGGTCTGCCAATTAAATATTGACTTCTCAGCCAAAAAAAATAATAATGCAAAATGGGAGAGCTCAACTCTCGAAAATATTCTAAAGGAACATTCTTATCTCCTTTATGGTATTAATATTCAGGGTCTGCCAATTAAATATTGACTTCTCAGCCAAAAAAAATAATAATGCAAAATGGGGGAGCTAAACTCTCGAAAATATTCTAAAGGAACATTCTTATCTCCTTTATGGTATTAATATTCAGGGTCTGCCAGCCACATAATTAATAACTAGTTAATTTTTGTTGTTTTATCCTCATAATGCTTTATAATATAACCCAAAATAAGTGATGGTTTCTGATAGACCGTTTTACCATAGACTGTTTTACCAGTAAAATTAATTTTTTTATTTTTAAATATGTTTAAAATTAAATAAAATTAAAAAAATATATAAAATAGATAATTTTTAATATAAATTTAATAATAAAAAATAATTAAAAAAATAAAATTACCGATAATTTTATTTTTTTAATCTCAAGAAACTCCCAAATAATTAAACAAATATAGAAATATATATAAAATGGTCGCCACCCCAATTATGTCCATCAAAAGTAGCCATTGTGGGTCCATGGCCGGTGCCGGCGACTTAGCCAAATATTATTCTTGCATTAGTTATTAGTCTACTATATGGCTAAATTAAGCACTATTTAAGCCATACCCAAAAGAATGTAATATGCACGAGTCCACCGAGTTGAAAGCTACCGAGCCAACTCAGTCCTTGGAATCTCTCTCTCTCTTCTTCTTCTTGTTATTGCTTTTTTGTTTGTTTGTTTGTAATTTGTTTTCAAGTGACCAAAAATGGTGAAGCTTGCTCTTGGCAGTGTTGGTGACTCATTCAGTGCAGCGTCTCTCAGGGCCTATCTAGCTGAGTTCATTGCCACCCTTCTCTTTGTTTTTGCCGGTGTTGGATCCGCCATTGCTTTCAGTAAGTTCAAGTCCTATTTTCGATAGGAACAGTTAGACAACTTTATTTTAAAAATCGGTTGACATAAAATTAGTAATTAATATGGAAATAATATGTTTCCTCGTTAAATATTCAGTTATTATCAAGGTTGTTTCTTTTTGTATACGGGTGAATAACTTAGTGCTTGTTTAATTGATGTATTTAAACTTGTGATTCTGATTCTGTTATAGTATTTTTTTTTTTTTTTTTATAAAAAAACTTGTCCATATTTCTCTCACAAAGTTTCTGTTAATAAATCAAAATTACTGACTTGAACGCATGAATCAGTATCTAAGTTTCATAAATGGTAGTGAACCTAATTTATAATATGGTGTTTGTGTAGACAAGCTTACTTCTGATGGGGCCTTGGACCCGCCGGGTCTAGTAGCAGTGGCAGTGGCGCATGCATTTGCACTATTTGTTGGTGTTTCCATTGCCGCCAACATCTCAGGTGGCCACTTGAATCCAGCTGTCACCTTCGGATTGGCCGTCGGAGGCAACATCACCGTCCTCACTGGCCTTTTCTATTGGATTGCTCAGTTGCTTGGTTCCATTGTTGCCTCCTTGCTCCTCTCGTTCGTCACTAATGGACTGGTAATTTTCTTTGTAAAAAAAAAAAAAATATATATATATATATATATGGAAGAAAAATTTTAATTTGAGCTATACGAATTTTAATCATAAGAATTTGGTAGGAAAAAGAATATATATTAGGTCCGTGGGTTTCAGTTACAAGATTTTGCAAGAGATAGCAATTAGGGTGTGAGATAAAAAAGAAAACAAAATGACTAGATACATGTGCTAAAATATGGAAAAAGTAGATTTGATTGCAAAAGAAATAAATAAAAAGCATTACTATTTACTTATTTCTTAAAAATAAATATATTTATCTGCAACCAAAATATAATTCCCACGTGACATTTATTAAAAGTGACGCGTTTGAACTCCACACCTTGAACTAGAGTCATATTGTACAATTACCGCTGAGTTTTTCTACAACCACTTCTTCTATTTCTGTTTTATTGTCAATAAATTTATCCAAAAAAACCCCTTTTTTTTTTTTTTTTTTTTTTTTTTTTTTCTTGTTTGTAGAGTATTCCAACCCATGGGCTAGCCGCGGGGTTGGGCGCCATTGAAGGATTGGTGTTTGAGATCATTGCAACCTTCGGTTTGGTCTACACCGTCTACGCCACAGCCGCTGACCCCAAGAAGGGCTCAATCGGAATTATCGCGCCCATCGCTATTGGGTTCATTGTCGGTGCCAACATCTTGGCTGCCGGCCCATTTAGTGGTGGGTCCATGAACCCGGCCCGCTCTTTCGGCCCAGCTGTCGTCAGCGGAGACCTTTCCCAGATCTGGATCTACTGGGTCGGCCCACTCACTGGTGGAGGCCTCGCTGGGCTCATCTATGGTTACATCTTTATTGGGTCCTACAGCGGAGTTCCCTCTTCTGATGAATACGCCTAAGAAGTCCAGATTTGAATTCCATGGGCTTTGTGTTGTATTGTTTGTTAAGTAGTTGCTTTGTTTGTTTTGGGCTTTGCGCTTGTGGTTGTGAAACTCTTGTTGTTTTCCATTTCTACCAAAATATATATATACTTGTTAATAAAAAAAATTTGTAGATATTAAATGAATTTGGCTTTTAATTATGAATCCTTTTTCCCTTCAGCATATAGTGCTTTTTCCCGCATTGTTGACTTTGGCCATGTTTAGGAAGGCTTTTTAAGAGCCTGTTTTTGGCTTCTTAGGTCTAAAAATTGTTTCTCATATATTTAGATGATTTATCAAAAGTATTTTAACATTTTAGAAGGTTTTCAATTAAAGTTAAAAATTGTGACTTTTAAAAAAAAATACTTTTGACTAGATTTTAAAAACTTGTACTAATGTTTAATTAAGGCATTATAAACTTAATTCTAATATTTTGATTGCACCACATTAAATTTAACCTCAGAGCCTCCCACATTAAATTTAATTTGTAGTATCTATAGAGTAATGTTATTTGCCATGAGTAGTTTTGGCACCACTACTTCCCATAACTATATATTATGTGCACGATCAAAATTTATATGAGATACTTCTTACTATTTGTAAGTTGTAACGTCAAACACCATTGGTACTTTGTTATGAAAATTGCACGTAACTTCAACTCTGTAATTGTGGAACTTCTACTTATATAATTAAATTACATATGAAATACCAGAAAAAAGTTATACTAAAAAAAAAAAGAAAACCCGAAATTCTTAGAAGTGTAAAATCAACAACTAATTACAGTTGAATGTAAATCTCAGAGTGCAAAATGTGCTAATCACAAAGTGATTAAGGCCTCGTTCATTTCACCGATTCAAATTTTTCTACCATAAAAAGCTCTTAGAAACAGTCATATATATTTTTATTTATTTATTTATTATTTCTTTTACTACAGTAAAAAACTCTCACATAAAGTCACATCTCAACTCAAATTAAAAACTCAAATTAACGAACTAAACGAGTCCTAAATATCTATGCTTATGCTGTACCCTGGATTTCCAATAGAGGTATTTGTCCTAAACGGTGATGAAATTCGGATTGGAGTCTTAAGATATTAGCTTCAGAACAATTTAGGTATGTCATCAATATCTAGGATCACACGCTAAAATTTAAAAACCGTGGTGCTCAAAAAAATTGTGGTGCTCAAGTACTGTTGCATAATGAATGATGTGGTTTTAATGGTTATTTTATTATTTACTTATCGATAGATATCATTATTTTAACTATAAAATATTAATCCGATAGTTATAGTAAGTTAGATAGTTGATGAAAAAAATTGTGACAATTAATTAAATTAAATTTTTATCACATAACGTCAATTACATTTTTATATTTGATGATAACCACCTATCTATATTAATTCATATATATAATATATATGTATACACATATATATTTGAAATGACCTTTTTTTTTCCCTTTTAAGTGCTTAAGGGATGATCACTTCGGACTTTTGGTCAGTTGGAAGAAGATGCAAGGTCTCATCACAAGGACATGACGATGTGTACAAACATAAAAACAAAGAAAACTACTGGATCTTAGATTACTCTTCAGTCCAATTTAACTGCTAATTAAACTAATACCTTTTTTAGGTACTAATCAGATTAGTAGTTTTTGTTTAGCCCAGATTCTCTTAGCATTTGTTTTGTCTATTATTAAAATGTGAACAGATTCAAAGTGACAATTATTTGATATCGAAATAAAAAACATTGAAATATATAGAACACAATAAGATTAACTTGCATTGATACAACATATAAATTCTCAAAGAGACTTTACGAATTTTTTCTTTTATAGATGAAAAATCTAAACTAACATATTTCCATATTAAAATTCCACTAGAGCCTTAAAATAATATGCAGACAAATATAAATTTTTTTATGATAGGATATATATATATATATATCTTTAAAAATATGACAATTTAAAGGAACTTAACAAAAATATAATAATTAAAAATTGTCTCTTATATTTATACTTGTCACAATTATTTCCAAAAATAAAGAGCAATCTTCAACAAGAATAATAATAATGCTATACAAGGAGCCAAATGCAACAGCACATGGGTTTACTGACTTATTTTCCAGTCGAAATAGACATATCAGGGGGAAAAAAAAAAAAAAAAGGTCACAACCGATGGATATAAAAAACGAAATTATCACGTTGAACATAAATTACATGTTTTTGCAGACATGCCAAGTTGGCCCTAATCAGTAGACATATATGGCCCAAATTACAGTGTCCCTTATTCGAAGTCTTAATCCGTTTAGTTCGTTGATTCAAGTTTTAAATTTGAGTTGATATGTGACTTTATGTGAGAGCTTTTTATTATAATAAAATAGTTAAATGTGACTGTTTTTGAGAAATTTTTACTGTAACAAAACTCAAATTCTAAAAATGTTCATAGGCTCAATTAAAAACCTCACCTCAACATTGGTGATCAGATGGAGTTCCAGAGAAAAATAGACCTACTTCTTATTGTGTAGCCCACAAAGAATTAAAGGGAAAGAAAACAATTCTCATGATTAATTAATTTTTTACAGGAGTAAATTTTTTTTTTCATAAATAGTATTATTTTTATTTATTTATTTATTTATTTATTGCATAACTATCATGCCACTATAGTATACACGATAGCAACTTATAAACGCCTAGAAGCCTCGCAGTGTCTTAAAAGGGATTTTATGGCTTATTTTTTTAGAGTGTGACTTGAGTGTAGTTTTTGAGTTGAATTTGAGTTATAACTTGAGTTGAAGTTATAATTTGAATAAAATTGAGTAAAGTTGAATAAAGTTATAATTTAAAAGAACGTGAACTTGAATAAAATTGTAACTTGAGTTTAAATTTTTTCTGAGTTTTGTTACAAATTTTTTTTCATAAAAAGGGGTGAAATAAATTAAAATTTTAATTTGGTATTTTGAATTTAAAATATAAGTATATCAAAATTCAAAAGTCAAAATTTGCAGTATAACTGATACGTTTGCTAAAATTTTAATACAAATATATTAAATTGAAAATTGTAAAAAAGAAAAAGAAATTGGTTGGCCGACGGGGGTGGTCATGTGTCTTCAGGATTTAAGATATCTCATGGATAGTGCTAATGGGGTTCAATATTGTGCTGGCCTTGCATCATGTGGTTTTCCCATGGATGTAAGCGAATAAAATTATGGCGGCCTTAAATTGTCAAAATTTGAATAAAATTTTTAAAAAATAATAATTACAATTACAATTTATTATTTTATTTGCTTAATATTATAATATTAGTCTAATTATTGTTAATTTTACTATACAAATATGTACTTTATTGTGCTTCTTAAAATTAATAATATTTTTTAATTTGTAACACATTTTATTTTTTTATTTTTATTTATTTAGATTATTTTCATTGGTGTCCCATGAACTATAGAGTCATTCTCAATTTATCCCTAAACTTTAAAAACTCTCACTTTGTCCCCTAAACTTTAAATTGTTCTCACTTAACCCATTTTGTTGTAATTTCTGTTAAAATTAGATAGAAAAAGAGGGAATTAAGTGTGATCATGTGGTTTGTATCTATTTCTTTTTAATAGAAATTTAAACAGAAAGACCACGTGAGTCCGTGACTGCGTTATTCTCTTTTTTTATCTATTTTTTTTTATGAGAAATTATAATAAAAGGGGTTAAGTTGAAGCAATTCATAACATTCGGGAGGCAAAGTCAGAGTTTTTAAAGTTCAGGAGGTAAATTGATAATGACCGTAATCAGTGATAATAATCTTATTTATTTTATTCAAATTTTAACAATTTATTTTCTAATTTTAAATAATTATGCAATTTATATTATTATTTCATCACATATTATTATAACAAATATTTTAATTATTATTAATTTTAATATAATAACCACACAATTTATTTTTTAAATTGAAAATACAAATTTAATTAAAGGATATATTAGTACTTTTAAATTAGTTCATTCCGATTCTAGGTGTAAGTAAATGCATGAATGAGATTTGGAATGACACCGATTTTGAATCCTGTCACCAAGTAAACAAGTATGATTTCTCACTCCGAATACTGTCCATTCTGAGTCATGATCATTCCGATTACACATAAGTAAACATACAATTAAGGTTCAGTAGTACTCATGGGCATTACAGTCAGTAAGGCATATGAAGGGATGCCATTACGCTACAATTGGCGGCCATGTATAGGACTACAAGTCGTAGTTCATTCCTCGGGCAACCTGCCTACACTACAATAAATAAGAGATTAGACGACATCTATTTAATTACGTTTTTTAGGAAACTGTCATCTAATGTGCTAAAAAATGTTGTATAAATACAAAAAATCTGTATGCACACCTTAGACGACGGTTTTCTTTTTAAAAAGCCATCGTCCAATGTTAAAAATTTTTTAAAAAAAAGAGACGGACTTTTTTTCGCTCTTTTTTTCCCGAAAATTTTTAAAGCTTTGATAGCTCATCTATAACTAAGAGCATTTTTTTACAAACTCTAAGTTTGTTATATTAAATCTCTCCATCTCTCCAAAGCTCTCTCTCTTCCTTACACCCTAACTCTCTCTCTAACTCTCCTCTCAACACTTACAAATTTTTTTCTCTTAAATCTCATCTCTTCTACACTCTTCACTCCCTCAATTTGGCCGCTGCCTCCAAGAGCCTTAGAATCTTACTCATATGTCACCGACCGTTGTGACCTCGCCTCCATATCCGCCACTACGCCATGACCATCGAAATTGATACTTTGTTAATCTTGAGAAATTTCTTTTCTTTGTGATTAGTTTTTTTGTTTTGTTTTGATTTAAAGTTTTCTTTGAAATAATTAGGTATGTTTGTTGTCAGATTTCATAGAGAGACATTTGGTTTTGAAATATTTGTATTACATATATATTGATTATGTATGAGAAGGTGAATTTTTAACATGTTTTTTTTTTTTTTTTAAT